AGCATTGTTATAATCTGGCCTTAGATTAAGAATAATTTAAGAGCACTATTGAAATAGTATCTGAATTGAATAAAATGTATTGATATGAACTCAACAATACCAAAACTGTGAATGTCTGAAATGAACATTGTGTGCATGATATCAAATGATTTGATTATGAATTTAGATTCAGTTTATATGGATGTTCGACGCATTAGATATGTTTACTCAGCTTTACCGCTGAGCGTGTAGTGTGTTTTATTTGCTACACGCAGGTAAGCAGAAAGCAGAATGTGATCCTGGCGGCAGATGGGGCGAGATTGTCGGGATGGATGTGACAAGTTTTGAAACAATTTATGATATGTCAATATTAAAATCGCTTCCGCAATATTGTTGAATACTCCGTATTGTATATGTATTGAAAAATATTATTGGGATTAATAAAGTGTGTTTGAAAAGGTTTAAATTTTTACGATTACCAAGTTAAATACTTTAGTCCGAATGGGGCTGCTGGACGGATTAGGGTGTTACAGTTAATGTGAAGGAGTAGAATTGAAGTTAATTGAGTACTCCAAATGTGACCTCATCATTTAGTTTTTACTGATATTCATACATACCGAACAGTGTTAGTGTTTATGAATGCATGGAAAAAAGTGGTGATTTGAAAATTATGTTTCACATGAAATTCCCTAGCACGGTTCATCATAATATTATCTTAATACCAAAATCAAGTTAAGCATATATGAACCTATAATTCAAGCGTTGAGAGTCTTAAAATGCATTATGAAGTTTTTGATTGGGAGAAATTTCTTGAGGTAATCCTCAAGTAAGTTTGGAGTATTTTTCAGAATGATCATTAAAATCAAATTCTCTCTAATCTAGATACTCTTTCCGTCCTAAAACTTTCTTCCCGTTGCGCAAAACGAAGAAAAATCCCAAGTTTTTTCAATATATTTTATTTAAATATTGGTATAGAAATAAAAAACAAAACATACATATTTAAAAACTACATCAAAAGTTCAACAAAACAAGTGGTGACAAGAATATTTTATTTTATCATATAGGCCATGAAAAAATACAAATAAATATAAATTCCCGTGAAGTTGGAATAGTGCTCTGGGAAGAAAAGTTTTAGGACGGAGAGAGTACTTTACTCGGTTGCAAGCATTTCTTATACTCGGTTGCAACTGGAAAGAGAAGAGATAAGGCAATGAGGTATGGTTTGCAGAGCTACATCGAATTTGGTATTCACATTAACTTAAATGTTGAGGGGCATTTCTGGAAAGTCAAAGCATTTTTTACAATCCCTTAGAAATGATCTTCAGTCAAACCGAGAAGTTAAATATAGGACGGAGGGAGTATATCATAGTACCTTCGTCTCATTAAAAATTTCTCATAGGTATACTCTATATGATGTATGGCTTAATTACTAGAGGTTATTGGACTATATTACTTTGTATTTTAACAAATACTCCATTAGAAAATACTCCCTCAGTCCCTAAATATTTGCCATATTTGTATTTCCGAGATAAGATATCAAGTTTTTTTTAATTCATTTTATTTACATATTGGTATAGAAATAAAAAATAAAATTTACATATCAAAAAACTACTTGAAAAGTTCTTCGAAATAAGAGGAATCAAGAATATTTTATTTTATCCAATAACCAATGAAAATGTAGAAGTAAACAAAAATTATCGCGACTGCTGAAAAAGCAAATATTGTGAATATTTTGGGACGGATGGAATAGATGTGTTTTGACTATGTGAAAATAACACTCAAGTTTGGTTGAAAACTTGAAATATTCAAAGACAAAATTGTTTTGGGAGAAAAAAAAAATGGAATATGAAATAATTCACAGATTCACATTATTTCCATGGACATAAATTTTTGTATTCACCCTGCAGATATTTACATAATTACATTCATTGACTCTTCTTGCTGCCGCCGTACCAAACCGGCGGACAACAATAGAATACTAAGTACTCCGTACTGTGTAATTGATTGGTAAGGATTAGGACATCAAAACCAATAGGAGTAATTTTTCAGAAAAGTTTTTTAAAGGTGTATTAGAGAAATATTAAGTGAAATTTGCACTGAATAAGACTAAATAATAAGTTATTTTTTTAATGTAGGATTTAAACTTTTTTATTCTCTAAATATGACTTAATAATATCTAATGAAAAGAATAATGTCCAAATGATGCTGGACATTTAATTGAATAATGACTTAAAGATAATGACCAATAACGGTCCTACATTAGGAAATAAAAACATATGGTCATACATTAAGAAAGTTATTATATTTTTGTCGTATTTAGGAAAATTACCCTAATATTAATTTGTCATCAACCAATGAATTAAGCCATACTCTTTCGTCGAGGTCCGTTTGAGGAGTTTTTAACATATGAATTATGGTAAATATAAATTTTTAAATTTAAGAGAAATGATATGGTTTTGATATTTAAAAGAAATATAAAATCAAATCACAATCACAGTTACTTTGAACTTTGGAAAGCAAATAAGAAATCTAAATTACTACTTTTTGATCATTAAAACAAGAAAAAATTATCTCAAATAATCCTACCTTTTCGCGTTCTTTCAAAAATAATCCCACTTTTCACTGTTACCAGAAATAATCCCACCTTTCTGCATGTGTGCGAGTTTTGGGCCGCCGTTAAAAACCTAACGGCCACTTAACGGAAGTTTTAGAAAATGTCTATTTTTGGCAAATAAATGAAAGATGAGATTATTTTTGGCAAATTTACTTTTTTTTTTAATTTTAAATTTAAAATTAGTATTTTTAAAAATATAATAGTACACTCTTGTTAGAGATTGGTCTAACGATTTGCAAATTTTGTTTTTGTTTTGGGAAAATATAATACTCGGTATTGAATTATCAAAAATAATTTAGAGTATCGATTAAGAAAGAAATTGCAATACAAAAAAATTGTAGTGAGTTATAAAAGTTATTAGTGCCGTTTTGGAGAAAAAAAATATTGTGCCATTTTCAAATTGAATTATCAAAAATAATTCATAGTATCGATTAAGAAAGAAATTGCAATACAAAAAAATGTAGTGAGTTATAAAAGTTATTAGTGCCGTTTTGGAGAAAAAATAGTGTCATTTTCAAAACTTTTGAATTACTATTTTGGGGGGGAATTTGTATTGAATTATAAAAAAAAATCACAAATTGGGAAGTTCCATTTTAGAAAAAAAATAATATGGGCAATAGTTGTGTTATAAATTAACAAAAAGGCAGTGACTATTCCTTTTCTCCTAAAGTGATCTTATATTTTCTGTTGTTTTTTTCATTGATCAATTGTTTTCAGAGAAGTAATTATGCTATTTTTTAATGTGAAGAATATTGATGTTGTCATTAAATATGCAAGTTAATTTTATTCTTAAAACTTTGTGGTAATAATAACTAAAATATGTTCTTAAAATTTTATGTTCAAAATGTTTTACAAATTGATTGCAAT